GCCCGGGCCCCCCCCCCCCCCCCCCCCCCCCGTCGCCTTGCAGCGACTCCCAAACCACCCCATGGTCGCTGATACCTGAGATTCATAGTGAGCAGACTCGTGAAACGTGAAACCTCGCCCTCCGATTCTTGCCGTTGCATGTCGGCCTTGCGGTCCGAGCATTTGGTCTCCAGCGGCGATCCACGCGTCATTCAAACAGCTATTCGTCTCAAGGTTGTCATTCAGCCGGCATTTCCTTCGAAATGCCGAGGGCTGTGTTGAGCAGCCCAGGGGTCATCACGTCTGCGGCAAAGTTGCTCAGGAGTGGAAGTATCGACGGACCCGTTCTGCCGGCATGAGCTTCCCCTCTGACCCGACCGCTCGCTTCGCAGCCAGAGTTTGGAGCAGGCGGTCGCCAGTTGTGTATAACTAGCAAGTTTCGCTCCATTCGATTTCGACAGCAGTTTCTGTTTGTCGGCTGTTGCCAGCAACCACTCCATTCGCGTCGCTCCTCTCGAGCACTGAGACAAACAGACCGACCGACCCTTGCGCTTCTATTTCGCATCTTCATTGATTTTCCAAAACCACGGTTCTGCGGAACATTCGAGATGTCCCCCCCGGCAGGAGCGACTGCGTGTTTTTTTTCTTGTTCCCTTGCCGCGTGACAATTTCTTTGACGTTGCATGCATGTATTAAACAGCGTCTTGCGCTCCCCGTGCCTTGGGTAAATGACGCCGGAGGTGCGACCAAAACACCAGCCATTTGTTTTGGGTGACATCGTGAGAGGAGCAGGGCACCACGGACAGGCGGCGTGGCAGGAGTATAATTTTCGAACGCCCGGACACGCCACCGAGGCCGCGGAGGCCTCCGTGGAGATGCTGCGAAGACCTAGAGCGTTTCACTACTGTTCACAACACCACCCAACACAACGCACACGCGCGAAATACATTTAGAAACAAGACCTGTGGATTGGACTACACGCGTTAGTTGCGTGCTGACTATAATACCATGCCGCCGTGTTTATTTGGTCGTTCTCTGCGGCCGCTGTTGTGGCAGATGGCCACCCTTACCCGCCTCGTGCGGAGCGTGTCCGGACGAAACGTCGTGGCCGCCACCATCATCGAACACCCGGACACGATCAAGGCCAACGAGGCCGCCGCCGCCGCGGCCGCCGAAAAGGCCAAGGAAAACCCGGAACCCCTGGAAAAGATCAAGGAGGTGACGCCGGCAGATGGCGGAGGCAAGAAAAAGAACAAGGGCAAGAACAAGCAGAAAGGTGCTGGGAGATAGAGATAGATAGACAGGGACAGGGAGAGGTGGAGGACAAAGGTAACCACTGCTTACAAGTACCAGGGGCGTGAGGGCGGGGGATAAAAACCGTAGAGCACGGAGTAAAAGGCCCCCACGAAAGCAGACGCCCCCCGCGGCGCCGAAAAAAAACGCCAAATAAATCGCCGCAAAACACAGAGCAAACATCCTGGCCCGGGTCGCCTTCGTTCTTCCTTGATGTTGAGAAAAATAAGTTTGCCAACATCTCGGTCCGCCTCTTCGGAATTAGTTTTTTTCGTGAACACGCCCGCGGGCGGTTGTTTGGCATTTTATCACTCGCGCCGAGATTTGGTCGCCTTGTAATATATGAACGTGCCAGTTCTGTCTTTGTGGATTGTGTGTACGTGTCATTTCCGTCTTTCTGCACGCCATTCCAAAAGTTCTACATATTTAGTTAGCGTCGTTTTAATTTCTGGAACACTTGTAGGCCATGTGTCGGTTTGAGATACGGCCTTCTTTGCACGCGGTGCAAGCGCCCAACTACACGGGGAGTGTCATGCTGATGCCTACGTCAGCTCCCCATAGGGTTCGTGCCATAGCCGCTGAGGCAGAAACAGTCATTTCATGATCGCTCCTGCATGCTAAAATGTGCACCGAGCGATGCGCCAGTTTTTTTTTTTTTGTGGAAACACTCTGTGCTCGCCACGTCAGCAAGTGGCACGTGATGGCCTATACGTAGCAAAGATCGGCCTCCGACCAGCTGGCCTCGACCCATTCTATGGATAGAGGCGGGTTAATTATTGTGTTTCATTGTTGTTATTGTAAGAACTAAGAAACAGTTGTGCGTGCGGCTGCTTCCGTTCCGCCGTCGTTTGTTCAACGCGAACCAGGTGGCGGTGCGCCTGCCATTGCCTTTGCCGCGGCAGCGGCAGCAATCGCCAAGGCCACTGGCGCTGGGGGCAAGAGTGCCGACGACGGAGGAGACAAGGGTAAGGAGAAAGAGGAAGAGGCACCGCCGGAGGCGGAGGAGGAGGACGACGATGACGACGACGAGGATTACGAAGATTTCCCGACGTTCATGATGCCCCTGCGCGTGGTGAGGAGGCGGCGGACGTTCGCGATTTTTTTTTTATTTCCACCACACGAAAAATGGGGGGACTACTGCTGTCGCCATAATTAATAGGACGGAAACAACACAGAGGCAAGAGAGAGAAATAGAAATGTGAACCGGACGTTTGTGTGATCCTAACTTGCAGTGTGGTGACAGAGAGAACGTCAGATCAAGAGAGGTTGGGCACGGATGTGTGGTGGTGAATATATAACCCGTTGTGTAAAACGTTCCTCCGCTTTTGAGCCTTCCCCCTTCCCAGCGGGAGGGCGGGACCCTTTCGTTGCAAATCCCCCCTCGGGAGAGAAATTAAGAAAGGAGGGGAGATGTGTTTCGTGCTTATTTTCGAAAAGCCCCCCCCCGGGGGGTGCGCCCCCGAAACACACGCCGGTGATGTCCGGACAACACCCTACTGAAAAAACAACGTCCATACGGTGCCCAATCTCTTGCAGTAATAACTAATTATAAACCCTAAATAAAATTACTAACTGCAGTTGGAGTGCCACGCAGATGGCGAGTTCCGCCTGGAGAGTTGTTTTTCATGCTTGCGATGCTGAAACAAGCGCAGAACGAAATGCAAAAGACACCGACCGGGGAAAACCTAAAAATGAAGCTTTTTTGTTTTCTTCGAAACGCAGTTTTTCCTCGATATAGATGTTCTTTGTCTTAGTCGAGCCACGCATTGGAAGTCCTTCGGGGTAACAAGGAGCGCACGTTTACGGCGTCGCTGTTGGCTGTGATAGATCAAACCCCCTCCAGCCTCCAACCCCGACCAAACCGCCCCAATTGGGTTGCTTGTAGAGTCCGGCCTGCTATCGCTCCTCCTTGAACTTGTTACGTAGCTCCTCGTAATCTACGTCGCCGCTCTTCTCCGAAGAGAAGAGGCCGACTCCTGGTGCAACACCATGTACCCTACCACGGGGTCCTGCACCTTACTTGCCCTTTTGACCACCTTCGACCCGTACTCCCTTGGTGTACCTCTGTCTGGTGCCATGTATATATGTCCATGTATACCGTTTTTCTGGTCTCTTGTCTGTTGAATTGTTGATCAAAATCCAGGTCACCATGCAGTACCCGTACGGTATGTACATGGGCCAGGCGATCCCGGATGCAAGGCTTGGAAGCGACATCCCTCACGGTCGGGTGAGCAATGAGAAATACCGCAACACAAATGGAGCCCGTGGACAAGAGTAGTTGTTGGTGTTGGTGGAACGCACAACAGAGATACCACGTGGACACCTCGTCTGTTTGCCGAGAGAGATTTGAGCTCCATCCTGTGTTCACCAAGTGTTTTCGCCGTGAGGTAGGCGGGTAGCTGTCGTGTGGCAGGCGCAGAGTTCTCCATGCTTTGCCGACAAGTGTATCCCGTGGCTGTAGACCTCCTGCCGAGCCGGGGTGTTTTCCTGTAGCAGCGGCAACGGAGTTCCAAGGTGAACGGCATGCTCGCGACCCGAAACGCCGCTCATCTCCTGAAAACTCTCTTGTCGGCCACGGCCCTTCACACAGGGGAGCTTCTTCTACAACGACGGAGCCGTCTACGAAGGAGACTGGAACCGCGGCAACTGGGAGGGGCAGGTGCGGTCGGTCCATTTTTTGGAGAACGTGTTCGTTTCGCTGTTGTAGGATCGAACGTCTCTCTTCCTCCTTTTCGCTCGGCTGCCAGTCATATGTTTCGGCCTGGTGTGTGATTTGTTCGTGCCCCCTCCGGGTAGAACCTGGCCACCTGTCCCCGTGGTGGAAATTTGCCCCCTCTCCAGTTGTTGAAATACTATGGTTGAAATACTATGGTTGAAATACTATGGTATATTGTGAGACATGAAGAACACCCACCCCCCGTTGGTGATGTAAGTGTATGTCCGTTTGGAGTGAGAACGGGTGCTCCGTCCCGACCCCGTAGGGATGCGAGGCCAATGGCCAAACGACTACGGCATGCACGTCTGTGAGTACCCCCCCCCTCCAGGCGCAAAATCCCCTGCCATCGTCATCCGACAGGGAATTTAGTTGATCCCGGGGATAAGAACGCCGTGCTCTTGATCAAAGCCCATCGAAGAATCGCCGCACAGCCAGCGGCAAGCCTTGATCTTAGCCCCTTGCGCTGATGAAGCACCCCTTCTTGACTACTTGAAACCTTCTCCCTATCGCCTTGACACTGGCAGGCGGTCAGGACCTGGCCTCTCGGCGCTCGGTACGAGGGAGAGTTCGAGAACAACCTGCAGCACGGACAGGTGGGTGAAGCAGGGAGGCAAGGGAGGGAAGCGGCGTGTACCAGACAACAATGTCTATCCTTTAGCTTGCAGGAGTCGCGCTGACCAGAGCAGCCTTGTTCGTGGTGCTATCGTGCGCGTGGGTTTAAGGGCTGAGCCGCGCGTGCTCATTTGTCTGGCCTACGTTCGCTTGCTTGGCCGGTGGTATGATGCGTGGTGCACTCGGAGCAGCTTGGTTGTGGTGTTGACGTCGGGGCGCTATTGCCCTGGTCCAAATGTCAAAGCTACCGCGGCAAATCCGCTCATCATCAGAAGTTGAAGGTATTGGCGCACAAGTGGTAGCAGAGCACAATGCTCCGGTGTTGGTGTACATTTTCTGTCGCCACATCTGATGGTTCGTTTACCTCCTTGCTCCATGTCATAAACGTTGTAACAACGAATCGAAGTGCCATGATTTTCCGCTGATATCATATTGGTTGTGATCCCTCAAGGCGTCCCGTTTCCTTCCTTTCTCCTCTCCCGTTTTTGTGCCGGATTTTTGCCTGTGTGGGCCAAAAGGGCACCCTGATGCTTCCCAACGGAGGCGGCGGCTACTCTGGAGAATGGGAGCACGGCTACCAACACGGCAAGGTAACGTGTTGCTCGTTGTCGCTGAGCCCGTTCCCCCCGTCATCTCTTCTTCTCTCTGCTCTTGACGCATGCATGCACCGTGTTGGTGCAGGGGAGATGATCCTCTTCCCCTTGTTCAATCAGGTGTTGCTGCCGGTGGTGATGCGGTGGGTGTTCTGCGAGAGAGCAGAGATAGGAACGCGTTGACGCAGGTTGGCCTCCTCGCCGTTGTTAATGGGCCCCCTCTCTTCTGTGCTGTTGCTGTTGCTGTTGCTGTTGTCCTCCCCTCTCTTGGCGTGTGTTCTCCTCGGTGTTGACCCAGGGCATCCTCACCACGCCCGACGGACAGACTTGCGAGGGAGACTTCGTGGAGGGCAACCCGCACGGCAAGGTCAGACCCGCACCATTCCGTCCCGTCCCAAGCCGTCCTACCCCGCACCGTCCCGTCCCATGCCGTCCCTCTAATGGTGTTTGTTGAGAACGGGGTCCCGCGCGTGGGAGAAGAAACGCCTGCTTGTATCTTTGCTCTCTTGTTTTCCTGTTCTTGTAGCGCGTGTAGCGGTGTCCCGGGACCAAGGGTGTGACATCCGTTCGTCCTGAGATTTTGGGTGAAAGTACCTCTGTGTCCGAAAGAACCCGCGAACCGAGATGCGTTTGATACCGTCAAGAGCCCGCCCCGTGACATATCGACGTTATTGTGTCTTTCATCACTGTTGAGACTTTTTTTTTTCGCGTACACCAATACCTTTGGCTGTGTTATAGGGCATCATGAAGACTCCGGACGGGATGGTGTACGAAGGAGACTTCGAGAACGGCCTCCCCCACGGCAAGGTTAGTGCAGTGCTTGGTCAAGGGTTCGCAGCGGTGTCGAGAGAGGAAGCAGCAGCTGCCGCTTATGCAAGTACCTGTACACGCGTGCAGGACGTTCAGCCCGACCGCATAGGATACACTTGATATTTGTGTAGAACACTTGATGTTAGCGTGGAAGGATTCGCCCAAGAGACACCCGAGCTGAGCACGGACTCCCATCCGCGGAACTCCCTTCCACTTTCCTTGTCGTCTGTAAAGAGGACGTGGTTTTTCTTGCGCGACACAGCCGCAATGTACCCCCCCCCCCCCCCCCCCA